ACCCCCACCCCCCCAAGAGCACCTGCTGCTCCTGCCAGCGCTGGTACTTGACAGCCTTCTTGCTGAAGCTCCACTCGCTGCTCAGCATGTAGCTCTTCACCTTCACAAACATCACCTCCAGGGGGTCCACGGAAACGCCGTCCAGGCTGTGCTCACTCGTGGCAGTCAGCCTGGCCGGTCCGAGCGCGGACGGGGCGCGCCAAGAGACGGGCGACGGGCGCGCGCGCGTGGCGCTTAGGGCGCGACGCGTGGATTTCGCCCGGGCGCCCCTGGAGCCCGGGCGGCCGTCGTGCGGCGCCGCGCGGCGTCCATTTGGTGCTGCGCAGCTGCATGGTGCTGCATCCCGAGACAGCTGGGATTCCAGGCCGAGGAAGGCTGCTCGCGCCTCCACCAACAAGCCCCGTGCCGCGCTTGCGGCGCACGCACGCACGCGCGCTTGTCGCCGCGCACCTCTCGTTGCACCCCCAGTTGCGCTTGTCGCGCCAGTCCACCCCCTGGTATCGCGCCATGAGGCAGCCGATGTTGTAGCCCGCGTCCAGGACCGCCGCGCTGCTGCCCAGCTCGCTGTAGTAGATTGTGTTCCACCGGTCCCTTGGGCATGGCGGGATTCAACAGGGGGTTGAGGGGTTTGAGGGGCGGTGCAGACGGTGGGGCTGGGCTGGTGGTTGCGTGCACAACTTGATGGGCGCGTGTGTTTGTGTGTATGTGTGTGTGGGGCGGGGGGGCGGGGAATGGTAGCAGGGTGGCAGGTGAGGCTTGAGCTCTGGGGCCAGCACGTGCATGTGAAAGCAGCTTTGCTTGGGAGGGGGGTTTGAGTGGGGTGCCGGGCACGTGGTGGCGGGGGCGGTGTGGCAGGAAAGCAGGGCCTCACCTAGGCTGCTGTCGCAAGCACTCCCAACCCCCTGGCAACCTTTCGCCCAGCCAACATTTGCAAGCGAGTCCTGCCAAGCCAGGCGCTAAGCCCATACACACACCCAAAGTTCGCCAACACTCCCCCACCCCCGGAAACACACCACCCACCTGTGGCACTGGAACACCCGGCCGTCGTCGATGAGCAGCTTCAGCCCCACGCTGTCCATGGCCACCACGTACGACTGGACGTGGGGGTTGCGGCGCCACACGCCCTTCACGTCGCCGTCCAGCGGCGTGCCCTCGCAGGATATGGTGGGCCCCACCAGCTTCACCGACGCGTCGAGGCGCGACAGGAACGGCTCCGCCCAGTGCAGCAGGCCCTGCGGCGGCGAGACGCGTGGGGGATGCAGGCGTGAAGCCCGTGGGCGCGCGGCAGCTTCTGCTGCGGCCGGAGCGCCCTGGCGCCGCTGCTGCTCCCTCGCGCCGCCAGCACGCGCGGCCGGGGTCTCGCCGCGGGGCCCCGCTGGCGCCAGGCCCCGCCCCTGCTTGCACTGCTGGCGGCCTCCGGCGCCGCGGCGCACTTCCGCGCCAGGCGGGGCGCGCGCACCCGCGCGTACGGCGGCATGAAGGGGCCCCTGACGCTTGAGTTGATGAAGAAGAAATATCTGTAGCGCCTGGGGTCCACGTGGCCGCTGCCCATGAGCAGCCACCCAAAGGTGCCCCAGTCATAGCACACGTTCTCGTGAAAGACGTAGCGCGCGTGGGGCGGCAGGGGCGGCAGCAGGGACGGCTGCCGGGGGTGTGGGGGCGTAGGGAAGGGGTCGGGGGGTCGGGGCGGTAGGCAGGGGCGCATGATCACGGCTGGGGCGGCGGCGAGGCGCGTGTGCGTGCGCGCCCTGTGGCAGTTTGCCATAGCGCAACCCGCAATGCTAGAGCAGGCAGCACCAGCATTCCACATGCGGAACAGCTGCTGGGCATGGCAACAATCGGCCATGAACCAGGGAGTTCTAAAGCATGCACTCAAGCATACATGTCGTGCGCCAACAACAAGCCTTGGTCACCCACGTCTAGCTGCCCGTGGCTGCGCTGCACTGCGATGACGTAGTCGCACACGCCTGGATCCCGCTCCACCGCCTCTTTTACAAAGTACTTCAGATTATCGAGGAACTGCGGCAGGTGTGACAGCATCGACAGGGCAGGGCTCAGCTGGCAAGGGCGTGCTCAGCGCCGGATTCTTTCGCTTGCAGCCACATGCAGCGGTTGCAGAATCTTGAATAAAAACGAACGCCTTGCAACAAGCCTGCGCTTGCCCACCTCTGGGTCTGTGTAGGCGAATACATACAGAACCACTACTTCGCGGCGCGAGCCGCGCAGCACGGCGCCGCCGGTGGCCCAGTCCCAAACCAGGAGCACGTAGAGGACACATCCGGCCAGCGAGAGCAGCAGCAGCACATGCTCCCTGCGGCAACTGCTCTGCCGCGGACGGCGGCGTTGCGCAGGCGCGCTGTCACTGCCGCTGGCGCCAGGAACAGTGCCAGAGGATTCTAACCCATCGCTCATGAGGCAGTGCCACTATAACAAGGCCGCTGGAAATAGCTCAAGTGTCACCATTGATCGCTGATCAGCAAGAAGCGGGCAAGAACCAGGGGTGCAGCCCTTGCAAAACAATGCGAACAGGATGTTCTAACTTCTGATACAGGTGGTGCCCGATTCACTTGATCAAACCGTCAGATCATTCCTGGTCTACACACATGTGAGCTACCAAATGCACGAACAGTCTCTTCAAGAGTCACCCTATACACGTCAATTTGATTGCGTGTGAAACGATAGGTGCGCAAGGCATCAGTGCGCTGCGTTGCAAAATTTCTTCAATGCTGACATCATGCACATCATGCATTTGACCCCTTGACCTGATTTGGATTTTGTGCTAGAGGCAGGTACATATTCAAAACATCACAATGGATGCCACCAGAATCTTGCGACGCATTGCCCTGCTTCATCAATAGCTGAACCGCAGGCTACTTGTGTTTTCATTGTTGCTCGGCTGTGGCATCGCAAGTACCTGGCGCAAACACAGTCTGAGCCATGCCAAGTGTGGGAGGCTGCTAGTGTCGATTATATTGGCGCCAGCCCAGGCGAGATACAACGGATGCGGCATCTCAGGCACGAGGGCTCACGCTCATGCATGCCAGCACGGACCCGGGCACAGCAAGGGAGTATGCTGAAGATGCTTACACTACAAACAGGCTTGACCACATCATGGAGCGCGTGACGTCGCTGCATGGTGTTAGGGCAAGTCTGCAGAGTTGTGTGGGCTGAAGGCGTCAAATAGGAAGGACTTTCAGGGCTTTGCAGCAGCTGGTGTCTGGCTGATTCAAAGGCTCAGGGGGCAAAGCAGAGTTTGTGGCTGACCAAGGGATGGGAGGGCGCCTTTGCTGAACAGGGTAAGCACTCAAAACTCAAGAGGCAGCACACTGCAGCGATGTCTGCGCCGCAAGAGGTGCCATTCCGTGCGTGCATTGAACACGGCACAGCCCAAAAAAAGCAGGGTCGCCACGAAAGGATCAGCTCGCAGTCTCATGGGCGAGGCGCTCGCCGCCAGCGCCCTCGGCGGCCCCGGTGGCGGGCTGCACGGCAGTCTCGTCTGCCTGGGGCGCCTTGACGCACTCGTCCTTGTGCTGCTCTCGGCTTGCGATAGCAAAGAAGAAAGCCGCGGCCGACTTGAGCCCCCCCTTCTCAGGGCCCGCGGGCGGGTCCTCCTCAACGGTGACCGGCCGCATGCGCGGCAGCGAGCGCTTGCTCTTGCGCAGGGTGCGGTCGGGGTGCACCGCCCTGAAGCCCTCCAGCCTGACCGGCTCCCAGCGGCTGCGGGTGTCGCCAAGCCCCAGCTGGCCGTGGTCGTTCCTGTGCGGCACAAGCATACGCACACATGGGCTGCTGATGCAACAGATTGAAGTGACATTGTAGCCGCAGACAATGTCTATGCAATACTGCCAAGCCAGATGATGTGACACACATACGGCGTATACATCCTCCTGGCCCACCTGCCCCAAAGGTACACGCTGCCGTCAGCGCCGATGGCGCCTGAGTTGTGGTCGCCCGCCTGGAGGGTCACAATTTCGGCGTTCTTGAGCTGCAGGATGGGTGTGAAGCGAGACCGCTTGATCTGGTCACCCTGGCCCAGCTCGCCGAAGCTGCAGGCACCTGAAATGGGGTGGGGTGTGTAGGTGTGCCAACAGAGTCAGTTGTAAGCATAATGGGGAAACTCCCCTGCAATCAGGTCGGCGCCTGCTGCTACGGTATTCAATGCAGACCTTCCCTCACACCGACACTCCATGAGACCGGCGCAGCCCTGCACACCTGCCGCGCATGGCACCAACTTGCCACCGTGCATCACCAGCGCCAGGGTGTGGTTGGCGCCGCAGGCAACCTGCGAGATCCTGTAGAATGAACTAGACTGCGTGGTCCAGGAGACAGGGACATACGTAGGGACCCAGCAGCTGCCCTGGTAGCCAACACCCAGCTCGCCACACTGTTGGAGGGTGGGCATGAGGTAGGCAATGGTCACATGCTTGTGCACGCACCCTCAATGTGAGGGCGCCAGGGGAGCCCCCGACATGGCAGCACCAATTGCTTGCTGGCAGCCGTACAAACATACGCCATAATCATCCCAGCAGGTCACACCTTGTTGCGTCCAAAGCCCAGGAGTTCGCCACTGACAGTGACAGCCATGCAGTGGTACTTGCCAGAGGATATTGCGGTCACCCTGGAAGGAACAGGACAAGAGGGTGTGGTTGGCATGGAGGAGCGTCGAGCTGCTGCGGCTTAGCCGAACATCTTGCAGGTCTACATCACGACATGAACATGCAGGTGCACGTGCGCTTGCGCAGCCTATCCACCCATACCCTGGGAGTCCTGGGCACCAGCCTGTATCCCACCTCTTCCAGGGCTGCAATTTGAAGGGGTCGAGGCTGTCAATCTTGCGAGGTGACTCAACCACAAAGGCGGCGTTGACTTGCATGAGGTGCATGGCGTGAAGCTGCGGCTGGCCAAGCTGGCCGAAGGCACCGCTGTAGGTCGAACATGATGAGCGTTGGTCATCAGGGCAGATCAAGGTTATGGATTGTTCATTTGTGCATCAAGCATGCCAGAATCAAGCATGCCAGCATCAAGCAAAAAAAAACACCGCACACCCGCTCACCAGCCCCAGGTGAAGAGGCTGCCGTCGCTGCTCAGCGCCATGGAGTGGTTCTGCCCCGCAGCAGCAGCCACGACACGATAGCCCCTGTGTTCAATGGAAAGCCAAGCACAAGCTCAGCAGCAGTGTTGTCCGCACAACCAACACAAGCAGATTGTAATGATGTCAGCTGCACCCAGCAGACAGCGCCCACAAACGATACAAGCTTCACCTGAGTGCTCCGTGAAGAGGGCGCAGGTCCGAGCTGTCATCGCGGTTGCCAATGCCCAGTTGTCCCTGCAGTGCAGTACACCAGGGTTGTGCAGACGCAGAGTTATTCTGCTGGTGTGCTGTTGTTTCCCTGCTATCCGTGGCTTGCAGCGCTGCATCAAAATGCGTCAGGAAACCCTTACGGCATGTACCAGGTCAGCTTTGGCCAGATGTGCTGCATCTGACCCAAAAATTACCTTGGAGTTGTGACCGCACGCCCACAGGCTTCCGAGCTCTGAGATTGCCAAGGTGTGGTTGCTGCCGCACTGCAGTTTGGTTGCAGTGCAAGGGTTGACAGGTGATGGGCATGCTTGGCCTGAGCATGCTGTGCACCAAAGCAACTATTGCAGGTGGCCTGAGCATTGTGCCCTCAAGTGCGTGCAACCAGCTCACTGCAATGGACACGATGCGCAGGTGCGGCTTGTGGTGGAGGTACGCACGCTCTGGATACCACATCTGTTGTGTTGGGAGAGTTCGGCAGTAATGGACAGATGGGCTTCAAAAGAAGAGCTGCTTGATGATGTTGGAAGGAGCCCCAGAAGTGCATGCTTCTGTGCTGTTCGGACACAACCACACTGTTGGGTCTCCACACCCTGTTTTTCATCCTCAACACAACCAACAAATTCACCTCTCCGGTGACATCGGGGCCGAGGCCAAGCTCGCCACGGTTGCCTAGGCCAAAGGTGTACATCATGCCGCGGCGGGTGATGCAGACGGTGTGGCTGTTGCCACAGGTGACAACCGCAGGGGTGATTTCCTCCTCCAAGTTGGGGTACTCCTGCAGGGAGGTGCGGGGCGTGCCATGAGGCTGTAAAGACGCGATAAGGAAAGTGTTGTGCCTGGTTCGCGAAACACCAAAAGCCCTGAACGCAGCACTTGGCTGCGTGCACACACTGGCAGTGTGTTCAATGGAAACCCTGGAATAAAGCCTGGCCGCGCCCCTGGGACCCACCACGCTGGCTTGGTAGCCGATGCAGAGGTGTTTGGGGGCGCAAGTGTCGTCAGAATCCTCGTGGCCGAGCGCGCCGTGGAAGCCTGCACGGGGCCGGATGAGCGTGCAGCAACCGAATTAGCGAGGCTTTGTGCACAAGACATGGCGGTCACCCACGCTGGCCTGGAGAGCTTGTGTACGTAGCAATTTACGATGCACAAATGTCTGCAAAACAAGGGTCTGTTATGTTCAATTGCGCAACAGGTTTAGACAGTGCAACGACGCACCACGGCCGAATGTGTAGAGGTTGTGGTCACCGTCGGAATTCAGTGTGGGCACCAACAGCGCCGCGGAGTGGGTGTTGCCAAGGGCCAGAGCAGTGGCCTGCACAGGATGGTGGAGACAGGGAACGCAATTGGGGGGGCGGCGGACGTTTGCGCCTGGTCGGGTGCCGATCTCAATGGGGTTTGCAAGAAGGTCATCGCGCCCGATTTTCCCAGCACCCTGACTTGCTGCTGGTCCACCAGCACACACCTGTGCGGCGGCGTTGGACTGAGAGTTGATGAAGAAGAGGGTAGACGCCCAGCTCTCATATGCACTGTGGTTTGGATTGAGCAACGAGGAATGGCATTCACACACATTGTGAGTGAGACGTGGGTGTATTCGCTGTGGACAAGTGTGACCATGCGGCTTGATGAAAAAGGAGGCTCTCATTGCAACTGCTTGAGGATCTCATCACGCATCCAGCAGCAGGTCGCATGGGTGTGCCGCACACTAGATGGAGTGCATGCAGTGCCCACAATGCACGGAGCTGCGGCAGACCAGGCCCACCACCGTGTCCTACCTGCGGTTGGGCTGCATGCCCTTGGCGCGGGGAATGGCCTTCAGCCGCTCAAAGCAGATGGAGTCCAGCTTCCTGACAGTCTTGAAGTAGGTGCAAGTGGTCTCCAGGCGCGCCAGCTGTCGGGGGCCGCAAAAGTTGATGATGATGTCGACGAGCTCGGTGGGCAGCGTGTCCCAAAGGCCGGTCAGCTGCGGCTCGCGGCGCACGCGCTTCACGGGCCGCGCGGGGAGGCGCCGGCCAGTGGCTGGACGGCGCAGTGGCACGATCGCAGCTGCGGGGCCGGGTGCGGGCGCGTCGCAAGCGGTGACGGCGCCAGGCTCGTCCTCCTGCTCATGCTGCTTCGATCGGCGTGCTATCAGGCGTTGAGAGCGGCGTGTGGGCTGCACTTCAGCGGCATTGTCGGGCGGGTGGTGCTCGGGGGACTTGGCCACGGGCTGATCAGGATCGGAGGCCGCTGGCGCCTTCTTGCTCTTCGATCTGGTGTTCATGGGAGAGATCGCAGTACCTGCGGTGCAATTCTGGACGTGGTGAGCGACGTGATGATAGGCCAACGGGGCAGAGCTGCCGGCTGCGGTTGCGGGCAGGCCAGAGTGGTCACGGCTGCACGGGGCCGCGGTAAGGGGCCTCAAAGGCTCGGAAAAGCTTACCTTGGTCTGTTGATAGCCTGGTCTGGGCGCAGGAGGAAAAGGCAGAGCGGTGGCCCGCCAGATCGGTCAACAGTCAACCTGCACGGGTAAACTGGGTATGGACGTTGACAATCGGTTTCATATTAGAATGTGGAGCGATGGATGGACGCATAGGCTTTGCCCGTGATGATCAGAGCAGCTTCGCGTCAGGCACGTCCCTGATCGAGTTTGTCGCACTTGCCCGGCACAGGATCGTGGAAATGGCCATTTGACATGTGATTGACGACCAACGCTCAGCGCAGTCCCGGAGCTGCCGGTCACTTGCGGCGCGTCACCGCCAGCAAAAGCACAGGTGCAACGACAGGGGCTCTGCATTCATGCATGGGTTGCAATGCTCGACCAGCACATGCCATTTAACTGCCAACAATTTAGCTCGCCAATGCACCGGTGGCGCTGACTGGGCCCCTTTTGATGGTCCCTCCACTTGTCCAAACCAAGCCCAGCGTCCTGGCCAGCTTGAGTTGAAAACACAGCCAACATCTTGTCCGTGCACAGCTCGAGGTAATAGATAGATAGATAAGT